CCTTTATAGCTTATTGCAGACAAACGAAATAAGCGAAAATTTTAAAGCTCTTCCTAAACTTTTTTTGAACATAAACAATTGGGCACCCATTGTTATTCCTCGTCAATTTTTTTCATCAATGTTTCAAGATATCATTTAAAATAGCACCTGCCTTATTCCATATTTTTATAATTCCCTGGATTTAAGATCTTTGTAATGAGAGAAAAGTCTGCCTTCATCAGAAGAGCGAATTGAATCCATCCCGACAGTAAAATTGGATGTCTTACAACGGTTCATAGAAGCTTTAAATGAGTCGGGTGCATCTATGACATTTCCTAAGAATTGCCCCATTTGTTCTGTGGCTCTAATTTTTCGAAAAGGGGTAATAAAGCGTATAGACTACTTAAATTAATAAAATGTACCTGTACCTGTACCTATCTAAATTATCTAATAGCTATAGATCTATGCTCAACCTGTTAAGATAGTGCCACCTGCTACAGACCCGGCCAATCTGGATTAGGCTGCTACTGCTATTTAGGATCTATTAAAATCGAGTATAATAAAAGCCCAAGTATGTAGTTCAAATGGCAGAAATGTTTCAAAAATATGTAATCAATAACAATCATTGATTCGTCAAGTACATTCGATATAGCTCAGGAATGGAATTTTTTTGTCTCGGCGTACCAAAATCGCACGTAGAGTTAACATACAAACATCGAATGGTGGCTAAGATTCCAGTTCCGATGTGAAGCATGTTACATACTTTACAACATGTCACAATTCCTCAAATATCTTCCCACGCCACCCAGCTGAAGCTAATCAACTTGCGGTACATGACTTAGCCAGCGGATTCAAAGCTCTCGCATGAAATCGAGGCAGGAAGTCAGTCAATCCAAAATGGCGCCAAAACACTGGAATCAAAGCATCCAGAAAATAAGTGACACTAATAGTCTCCGATTTGCTAACTTCAAATGTAAAACATCAAAAGTTTAGGTTCAGTTAAAATCCTCCACTCACTGCTTCAGAAAGATAAAATACTCTTGGGTTTCTTGAGACAAAGAAAAAAGGCACAAAGCAAAACAAACAAATGAGTGCGTGGCAATCATCATTGAATATTGCACGGTTTTAGTTAATTACGTCAAGATTTTTTCTTTAGAGCATTGCATACTGTGCTCGTATCAATTATATCAGGCGCAATATCAAGAGGAAACCCCTGGTGAGAACTTTTAATTCTTCTGAGGCCTCTTGCCGTTTTCAGGCACTAATGGCGAGCACTTGAACTGCAGTTGTCGCTGGGGATTCTCTGGAAATGACTGTTCCACTGAGGGTAATGTAGAGTTGAGGTTCCATTTCCACAATTGTTCATTAAATGTGTATTGGAAGTTCTTCATATATGAATGCTTTCCCTGATTTCACGTGTATTACAGAGTGCCATGGACCTCTGGGTATGCAGAGTGGTGATATCGAAGATTGGCAGATTACTGCACGACCCTTTCGTGACTACAGGTTTAGACCCAGTCCTGGGAGACTGCGTGATGCGACAGGAGGAGCGGGGGAAGCTTGGAAACCCTCCTGGTTTTATAGACACCCATGGTTTCAGGTTCGCCTCCATAATGGATACACTTGGGTTACAGGGATAGCGACACAAGGAAGGGTGACTACATACGCGCTGCTTTATTGGGACTATATAGTTCGGATGCAGTGGTACACGGAAAGAGGACAAACATACGCAAAGGTAAAGAAAATAGCGCGAATCATACTGTTAAACCAAAAAACACAGAAAATTTATTTTGCGCCAGACTCAAAATATGCCTTGAAATATTTCCGAGAATTTGTGCAGGCCTACAGATCTAATGGAACGGTGGAACGGAAAGGAGGGGGGGGGGAAATAAACCTATCGGACCCTCCTGCTGAATTTTCCAAAGTTATGATCAGTTATGGAGACGTGAAGATTAGTTGTTTCATGGGAGTAACCCTCCTTGGCGATCAGTCTTAATAAAACCTCAAAAAGCTGCTCATATAGGTGATATATTGTCATTCTATAAGAGTTTGATTTGGAGAAATCCACCCAGGTCTAGGTATTCTGTATTAATCGCTTTAAATGGTTTTCGTTTACCCGTTGACGGTGCAAAAATTACCTTTCTGAGGTACATCACTTAAAGTTGTTGATTTATGACTCCCAGAGTAGCTAACATGTCAGTCTTTTTATTCTGGAACAAGAGCGAAGACCTCGTAAGTATTTTAGCTGTTAGATGAGTCTTTTGACGGTCAGAAAAAAAAGTGAGCATGATATTTTTCTTAATTTCTAGGTATTCACTGGAAATACACGCAAACACCATTATTTTCGCAACGAACTTGAGACACCTATCAGAGCTAGATTCTTCCGTATCTATCCATTGACTTGGAGAATAATAATAGAAATGAGGATGGAGCTGTATGGTTGTAAAGGTACTGCGGATGTAGACACTTTCAAGAGCAGTGAATTTAAATGAAGGGTAGAGAACAGATGGTATTTTTTTGATTATCTATATTGATGTCGCTGAATTTTTTTTCACTTTTGGCTGATCGTAAGAGGTACGATGATCCTATAGTTTTGAGGCTATTCGGTCATTTCGTTCCATGGCCAGCTCGTTCCAAGTCAAATCTTTCCACTCAATAATCATATCATTTCACCAAATAGTCATCTCGTTCCCCACATACAATATATATTTTCTAAATGTATAAAGGTGATCTGGGTACTGAGTAACGATCGGAACATAGACGAGTGTAAACCAGAAGAGGTTTCTCTCGCGAGTGATAATGTTTAATCCATAACCACTTTACTTCTATCGCGCCAAACACGCGGGCTACCTAGTACTTTATTGAATATCCTTTGCTCTGTGTTGTGGTCAAAAGTCGACAAAAATATGCACTCGCTATTGTGTAATTAGTTCTGAAAATACTTTCGTCTATGTTGCGATCGCTACTCTGTGCTCAGATCACATTTACACATTTAGAAAATATATATTATATGTGTGACCCTCCACAGATTTCAAGGAATAACGTGAACGCACGTGCGCGGCACGCTCGCACGCTAAAGCAAAAGAACTAGCTTTCAACACGTTTGCTGCGTGTTAGTTACTTGCCTCATTAATTTCGAAGCCATTGCCTTGCTTCGCACGGTAGAAACAAAGGAACGTGTTTAGATCTTGCTTGCAACTTTGCACGATATAACACGATGACCGTGCCAATTTTATAAGACGCCTCCCAAAGTTAACGCCAGTACACGCCCCCCAAAGTTAACGCCAGTACTGGTCAGAGGTAATAGGATAGAGCATGCGTTTTGTTTGATCGATTGTGGCTTCGCATCGGCTATATTGTTATTGTTACTCGGCTGTTAGTTGCATCCCTGTTTGATAAAGCCTTACACGAATTTGTCGTGCCTTGGTCCTTGTCTTATCTCCTTAGCTGGCGTGGTGGCAGCACTGGGAACAACCCAAGCCTCATTTTTTTACCGTAGAAATTCACTTTTAAGCTTCGACCGCAGGAGCCAAAACAACGTATCCTTCACTGTGAAAGCACTTCCCGGAGTTTCACACCGTGTGTATTGGCGTCTGCTTACCGCGCACCGAAACAGTGGTGCCTGTCAAAGGTGGGAACTATCTACAGCTTCGAGAATTGGATGAAAAATCTTCTTTACACATTATCATTGGACAGCAACTTCGTCTCTTCCAATTCAAAGGTGTTCAATGGTTGAAAAAGACTAGAACCCCATCAATTCAAGGACTCGAAGCCGACAGCGATCACATATCTCTCGCTTGACGCCTAAGCGCTCGACAAAAAGTCAACTTTCACGAGCTGATGCCAGTCAGATTGCAAATTATTGCCCTATCATTTCCGGAAGCACGTTGGTAAAAAATTCAACGTCACTCGAATTCATCTGGCAAACTATTCGCCAACACTTTGGTTTCTAGGCCACCGGCGCTCAATTTATCGTTTTTTCTGATATAGACCTTGCAGTGGATGAGCGCCTTGAGGATCTGTGCCAAGGCGCTATGGCTTTTGTGGAAGATACACGCTAACAGTTTAACTCCCCATGGTGAACATGTTCTAGAGGATGAGGAATTAACTCCTACCCTAGAAAACTTTGTCGTTCTTACTTGGTTAAGACTCATTCACCCCAGTGTCCCTCGTTTAGTCAAGCAACGCTACGGCACGGAGTTGACATCTCGCACCCTCGCCTTCATTAAACCGAGATCTCTCAGGAACTAAATTCTCTCCTCGATGAAATCCGCGCTTCAGATGACGCTAAGATTCTACGTGCAGCGGTAGCTGATGATTTTCGTCGCTACCGTTCGAGGGCCAGGAGTGACCTTAAGGCCTGCACCAGACAGCCCCGTCAGAACAAGGTCTGTCCCTTATACAAGCAAGCTGGTTGCTCTAACATTAACCACTTCCTCAGTCAGTGTACCTTCTTCCCTGACAATGACAGGCGCTTCATGGTAAAAGAAAGACAGATCGTTGGCATCGTAGACGACGAAAAATACACCACCTGCAACTTTGATCCTGATCCACCCTGTCCTGAAACTACTTTGCCTTCCCCTGACGTCGTTGCCTACCGTGTTCAGACCCGTCAATCCCTTACATGGATGTCTTTCATGGTCACAGCATCGAACATGTCACCATTGAC